GTTTAGAGGGCAGCCATAATAATACAAATATTTTCTCATATTTCTCAAAGAAACAAGTTCACTTCCAAGAAGGGGAGCATTATTGGTTGCTACCTATGTCGGCTCGACCATCTATTCCTGCATTGTCTTTGGTTAGTTCTAATTTTTTGCAGGATATTGTTGACATACATCATGTGCATTCGGATCATGGAGTCTACATGCTTGCTGAAATTTTTATGCGAGATGACAAGCTAGAAACTTGGAAACATGGTCACATTCCTTCTCACAATTATTTCAGTTTCCTTTGTCCTCGCAACCCCGTTCTCCTTTATGTTGTGCCAAATCAGTTTCAAGCACAATCGACGCCGAGGACGGCTTTTCGTCAAGAAGGGGAGGATGATGAGGACATGACACCCATGCATACGACCATGTTTGGCGCATGGTATGGAGGGGTAGGAGGCCAGCAAGGGTGTCCAAGTCAAGAAGGAGGCCCGAGGCTAATTCGGTTCGAGTCCCCAAGGTGGAGGCCCAAAGCAACTCAAGTTCGAGCCCGTCTCGAAGTCCAGGAGCAGCACGTACTAAAAACGACACCCAGGTCGCATACGGTGTCCGTTTTGGACATTCTTTATATGGATGGAAAGATAATTTCATAGAGCTTCCAATGGCATTGGTCTCACCTTAAAATTAGATCGGAGTCAACAGGAATCATCAAAACAAGTGGACATCCAACAGAAACCAGAGGCCCAGTCCAACATGATTTCGAGTCTACCTCGGCCTCCAGGACCAATCTGCCTTAAACTGGTCACCCAAGACGCATCCGGACTCCGTTTTCGATGATCCATATATGGTTGGAAAGCTAATTTGATAAGGAAGCCAATTCAAGTGGTCTCACATAAAAAGCCCTTCAGAATCAACGGGAATCGTCGATACAAGTCAGCATCCAGAATCTCCCAGGGTGCTGCGACACCGTCTTTTGGTCTGTTGGACCGTGTATCGTGTTTGGGCCCATTAGGGGGCACGTCCAGGGTAGGCGACAACCCTAAGACCTTTATAATCATATGCCGTCGCCGTCATTAGGGTTTGGGTTTTGCTTAGATTATTCTGTCAAGAACAGTTTCGCCGTTCATCGGTTTGTGAGACACCAACTTCGTGAGATTAATCATTCATTTGCAAATTGGTTTCTTTCTTTCTTGTTCTTGCTTGTGTTCTTCGTTGCGTAGGCAGGGATTAGCCTTCTTGGCGAGGTCAACCAGATCCGTGTCTTGGTTGATAACCAGAGGAGTTGTGGTGCTAAGATTGCAGGGTTCGATCTTTCGATCTGAAGCCGGATCGGTGTGTCATTCTCTGCCACAACGATAGTTACCTTTACCTGATGGAAGATCGGGAACCCCGTCCCCATTAAGGTGGACATGGAGTTCCTGGGCAACATCACTGGCCAGCCATACACGCTGCACTACTACACAAAAGGTTTATAGCAACGGCTCAATTTTTTGTAGGGGCGGCTGGGGATAGAGCGGCCCCTACAGTGGGCGTGCTCGGGACCCACGAGACCAGCCGCCCCTACAAATGGTACAGTATGGGCGACTGGTGATACGAGCCGCCCCTACAAATGGGTTGATTTGTAGGGGCGGCTCACTCACCAGCCACCCCCGGTGTTGCGATTTGTAGGGGCGGCTCAATCACTAGCCGCCCCTACAAATGTTGCACATACAAAAGGCTACAGCCCCTTGAGTTCATAAAATTTCTAGAGAGAAAGAAAAGAAAAAGCAAAAGAGATCCACGATTTCCTATTCGGCCCATGATTTTTAGTTCGGCCCAAGATTTTCTGTCCGTTGATCCACGATCGGGTGGATGAGATATGCGTAAAACTCAAACCCTAACTTCTTATCCCCTCCCCTCGGCACCGCGAGCCACCTCATGGCCCCACCGCACGGCCCCCTACCGTGAGCACGCCTCCCCACCCGCCAACCTCCAGCGTGAGCGCGCCGCCCGCGCGCGACGACGTCCTCCCCACGGCCCTGCACCGCGCCCTCTCCCCGTAGCCTCGCACCGCCGCACCAGGCCCGCCCAGTGCCGTGATCCAGCAAGCCTCGAGGCGCGGGCAGCTGATGCCGCGATGCGAGCAGCAGGCCATCCTCGATGCGATGACGCCCTAGTGATGATGCAGTCGCCGGATCTCGTTGAGGAGGATGTGGGTCGCCTTCCGCTGGGGCTGCGTCGATCTATGAACGGCGGTGGCATCAAGGTATGAGTAGTCCAGATCTACGGCGACCTCTCTCCCTCACTTGCTTTCTCTCCGGCCACTGTGCGTGCACCCCTCTTTGTCGCTGCCTCACTTGATTCCTCTCCGAGCCGCTGGCTGCACTCCGCGCCATGGCCATGCCGTGCTCGCCGCGCTAGGTTGCTGCGATTTCCAGGGCATAGCACTGATGTGGTGAACTCCTACTTCTCATGGATGAATGCGTCAATCGAATTCGGGTATATTGATTGGAGATCTAGGGTTAGGGTTGCTGGTCAGATCCGTTTTAGTGTTGGAATGCGGTCATATCTTTGGTCTTCTCCTTTAATTTTTAGCTGTCGTACGTAGTTTTGGGTATAATGATTGGGGATCTTGACTAATGGAATATACATTAATCCTACATAATTGCTCTTGACTTCGTGGAATATCTATGTCGGTGCAGAAAGTGACCAACAAGTAAATATTTGTAGTTTTGTCGTACGTTGTGATTGGAGGTGGCCTAGCACTCAATGACACAGGGTTTATACTGGTTCAGGCAATGTGCCCTACGTCCAGTTTGAGTCGGTCGGTGACTTTATTCCTGAGCTCAGGTGCTCAAAGTTTGCAGTGGGGTTACAAACAAGAAGGAGAAAGATGGGGTGTACGAGAGGTCCGGTCGGACTCCAATCGGAAGGGCCGAGAGCGTCTGGAGCTCCGCTGTGAGCTAAGTGTTCAAGCGTGTGCTTGAGGTTCGAACCTGGTGATTCTGTGGTAGTGAACTAGTGGACTTGGTCGATCTAATGAATCTAGAATGACTTGTATGAACTTGAATCAACTGAGTTTTTTGGGAGAGAGCGCATCCCCTTTTATAGATGAAGGGGATGGCCTTACAAGTGAGAGGGAGGGAGTACGTCTGCTTCTAAGCCTTGTTGCCCACACCGGCGGGTACAAGATGATGGTAGGCGCCCACAACACTATTGGATGTCAGATGCACGTGGGAGGTTACGTCGTCTTGTTTGGGTATGGCAGATGTCGGTACCTGTATATATTGTTGGTGCCTAGAGGCATGTGAGGAGTTTCACCATGTTCACTCGGTACGGTAAATTCTGGCGCCCACAACACTATCGATGTCCAGAGGCATGTGGAGAAGTCTTATCGTATGGGAGTTAATGGCGCCTACAATACTGTAGGGGAAAAAGTCGACGCCTACAACACTGTTTGTGACAGGGAGGTTGCAGAGTACTATTTCTGTAGGTGTACATGGTATATTCCCTGGTATCGTGGTTTGACTTGTGCGCCTGGCCTTGCTTTCTCCGCTCGTTCCGTGGTCCTTTTCGAGCGGGCGTCCCCGATCGGTTGGTCCCAGTCGGCACTTGTTGCGCCAGTCGGAGAAGAGCAGTGGGCAGGGTTTTGACGTACCTCGGTTGGAGACGTGGGGTCGAAGTTGGAAGTAGCGTTTTGGCCAGGCCTTCCGATCGGAGAGGCCGTCCGGAGGCAGCTGGAGTCGGAGCGAGCGCTCCGGTTGGAGAGGTGGGCTGAAGTCGGAAAACGAGTGCCGCTCCTCTTCGGCCAGACCTTCCGGTCAGTGACTGGACCGCCCTTCTGGCCTGTCGTTCAGATACTTGGGCCGGCCCATGAGTCGCGCGCTGTCTGCTTGGGCTGAGCCTTTGTTGGGAAACCGCCCCGAGGGACCCCGAGTTTATGAACCCGACAATCTATGTTACGCACTAGTACTTGGCTGTTATGTCTATGTTTATATATACCGATGATTTTTGTAGCCTTCAATTGCATGGAGCTCACCTATTTCATAAATTCATTGTTTATTTAGGTATGAACGTCTGATCAAAATGCTTCTCGGAGTGCTTGTTACTATGTTGTTGACAACAAACTAATCAAAGTGCTGAAGGATGCCAATTTTCTAATTTTATTTTTCTATTGCTCTCAGGTAACTTGAGTACCTGACTAGAGAGTACCAAATCCAAATGTATAATTAGGTTTGCTGATCAAAGCATCTTTCTTGGATGCAGTAATGATGGGAACAAAGTACTTCTGTCTCAGTCCAGCCACCCGCTCCGGTATGCATCCGATCTCTAGCTTAAGCTGAATTATTGCCGCTGCTACCCTTAAATAGATATGTCATGTGTGACCTGCTGAATTACGACAAGTTAATTAAATATTTTTTGTCCAATCAAATATTCTCAATTCTATGCATACTAGTGCTAGAAAACTATCAAATGTCTTCGACCGTGCCGGCGCGCCAACAGCCCGTGCCGACGGTGGTGATGGGGCTGTCGTTCTCGGTCGGTCAGAGGACCTAAATCGCAAACGGAGAAGACTGATGATCTGCTGACGGCGCGTCATCTTCGCTGCCACAAGCAAGCAGGTGCAGGCCACCGTCATGGCCACTGCCAGCAGTAGTCAGTAGACAGTGAGTACCATTCGTTCGCTTCAGTTCCTGCAAATTACGAATTCCGTTTTTAGTCTGCTTTAGTACTACATTGACCTGATGTGTGACTGCAACTCTGCAAGTGGAAGGGTTATTAGAAGCTTCTGATTTTGTGATGTTCGATTGCTAGATCTGAGCGCTATTGATTTTGTTATTCTGTGGTCTTTCACATAAAAATCATAGTCACCATAAAATGTTATTACGATTACCGAAAAGTTTAATAGATAAAATTTGTTGTTTGATTTATCTGAACTAAACTGTCCGCTTAAAAGTCATAGAATATTTGTTATAATCTGGTATAAATAAATGTGTATTTTCATTGAGTTTTAGTACAATCGCAGAAGAAGATAAGTCATGATGAAGTTGTGCATGAAAAATATATGTTCTAGTCGAATTTTGAATTTTAAATTTGAATTTTTTTTGACGAAAAATATACTGTAGGGACAGTTCTAGACTGAACCGCCCATACAAATGGTTATTGTAGGAACGGTTGGTAACAAATAGATTTGTAGGGGCGGCTGATAACACCTGCCGTCCCTATAAATCAATTTGTAGGGACGGTCTAGAATCGCCCCTACAAATACATGATTTGTAGAGACGGTATGATAGGAACGGCTGACCGAACCGCCTCTACAAATCATCGCCGACCGCCCCTACAAATACTTAAATACTTATTGTAGCAGTGCTCCACACACGAACATCTTCGTGGACAGCGTCGGCAACCGCGAGCAGCAGTTCCGGCTCTGGTTCGACCCCACCAAGGACTTCTACACTTACTCCGTCGAATGGACACCTAAGAACATCATGTAAGTCGTCACATTGCCGTACGCACACCGTCGTCTTCATCGTGGATTATTGATTTACTGCTTGGCAGATTCCTCATCGACGGCACGGCGATCCGCGTGTACAAGCACGAGCCATCGCGCGGCGGGACGTTCCCGACGCAGCGGCACATGCGGCGGGACGGGAGCCTGTGGTACGCCGACGACTGGGCGACGCAGGGCGGCCGTGTCAAGACGGACTGGACGCACGCGCCGTTCTACGCCTACTACCGCAACCTCCGCGTGACGCCGTGCGCGCCGTCATCGTCCCCAGCCGGCGTCGCATTGTGCAGCGATGAGGCACCGGCGTCGGCGGCGCTGCAGAAGGTGCGAGCGGAGCATCTGCTCTATGGCTACTGCGAGGATCAGAACCGGTTCAAGGACACGGGGCTCCCCAAGGAATGTACCGCAGACTAGATGATATGAAGCCAAGTAATGTTCGTGTGATTGCAAATGAAACTGATGAATGGAACGGTTCAAGTGTCTGTAGTACTGTAGTAGAGTAAACATATATTCATTCAGTTCTTATATGACTCTAATGCTTGAATTTTTCCAAAATGTTTTGCAAAGTGATCACTTGTTCAACAATATATAATCACTTTGGACAAAACACACTAATCACTTGTTTTGTCAATGTAGCCACAAGATCAACAATGATGCAGTCATCCTAAAAAATGACCATTAGTACATTTGATTTGCATCAAGAATTAATACACGCATGCTTCTAAACAATGAACAAGAGGATAGAATGCTGGATCTGTACATGGACACATAAATGACTGCTTATACTGCTTAACAAAAATAAATAAATAAACGACTACTCGTACATAGCAAGTGGAAATTGCACTTTGAATTAAGTTTGGAGATGTGATGAAGATACCTTTCTCTAAAAATATGGGCCACTTAAATATATAAATGCATATGAATTCAAATATTGTAAGTTGGCATTCGTGTTTCCTACCAATAAATGGTTAGCGCGGGCATCACGAGAGCGATGGCAGCCGAGCGCTCCCCCCTCGCCTCTCCGCTGCTCCGCCATGGCTTCTTCCTTTGATATCAACATCTGCTCCCAATGGATCCTCGGGTCTGGATTTCTCCCCGAGCATCGCAGTCCGGAATGCAATTTGGAAACGGTTTGGTTTCCATGTCAATTTTGATCCTCGAGCCCATGACAAGGAGTTTTTCTTGGTTCTCTCAGTTGGCCGATGCAAATTCCGGCTCACTGTGGATTCAGTCAGTCTTGTCCTCCAGGCTGCTACTGGACGTAATGCCTCAGCTTTTCTTGTCTCTCTTCTTCATGATCGAGTTTTTTGCTTCTCTGTTTCTTCCAAATTGGTTGGCTTTCATATTCACAACCTCAAGTCCTTTGAATGTCCGAGTTTTAAGATCTTCTTCCACCTTTGGAATTTGCGAGGACCTCATTTTACTTTAGAATTTAAACGTTGGCAACAAGAACAGGATGCTGAATGGCATCATATTATATATTACTCGTTCTGACAATTTCTCTGCTGCTCGCAAGGTTGCCGATCCTGTCCCCTTTACTCCCTTAGAGGTGCTAATGCAATATTCCCTATTGCTCGTCGTAATCGTCTTGCTGGGAATTCAGAAAATCGGGATGCAAGTTCTTCCCGTGATCATCGTTTTCAAAATTCAAATTCTTTTTTTAAGTCAAATTCTGATCCTCGCAAATCTGTTTTCAAGCGGCTTGCATGGAAACGGCCGGACTTGCCTCCCAGTTCCCGTTGAAGGGGCCTCTCCTACAAATAATGTTTTGGGCCCATGTCCATGTTGCTTGTCCCCAGCTCATCTTCGATCCTCCTGTACCGCCTGTTAGATGCCGCTCGGCAACCGTTCCGATGCCGGACGTGGAGAGGAGCCGAGGGATCGATGGCCGGTGTACATACCTTTAGCCTTGTTAGCTAGTTTAGGGTTAGGGTTCTTCGTTTTGTTGATGGCGGCGCGAAGATTAGTAGGTTCAGGTGGTGCTTGTAGGGTGGAGGCGGCACTGCATCCATGGAATAAGCTTCTCCAGCCCCTTCTCCGCCTCGCTGGTGCATGCTCCGGTGCCAGCAAAGAGCTGCAGAGGTATGAGCTCGCTGGATCTGGGGACCTGGTTGTGTCGTTGTCCGGTGAGCCAGGGTTGTTGGCGGTTGTTGAGGTGCCAGATTCCTTGTCTCCTAGTGATGCGATGGCCGGTGGCCATCTTGTTCAGCCAGGGCGTTCAGCGACTATAGAGCATGTCGATGTGTTCGGTGTGCTACTCTTGGTGGCAACGAAAATTTGTGATGTTTCTTCGTAGGGATGGAGGTCGGCTTCAAGTTGATAGTATGGTGTGTCTCCTCTCCATCTTTTGGTACGACGAGAACTCATCGTGTGGCTGCTCCGACCGCTGGCGGCGAAAACGACTGGGAGGATCTTGCAAGGACTAAGTTGTAATTTTTCTTTCCTTCAAGGGTGTCTTTGTAAGAGCTGGAATGTAAACATTAAGATTTATATGTGAAATATAAACCCGGTTTCTAAAAAAAACGATGCCGCTCCTGTTCTCGTTTGGGACATGTTTCCCGTGCATGTCAATTTTCGCCTTGCTTGCCGCGCCCTTCCTTGCAGCCTCCCCACCTATGCTGGCTCCCTGGAACCCCTTCGTCCCCCTGAATCCTGGGCCTAGGTGCGGTAGACCGCGTCTATTTCGCTCTTTTGGTGAAGTTTCCTCTGCTCTACCAAACAAACATGACATCGCCATCCAGGATAGCAAAGGGGAACACGAAACTTGGATCAAGATGGAAAGATTAGAAGATTATAAACTGATTTTGCCGGAGAGTTGCTCGACGGCCGACGATGAAGCCCTAATTCCATTCCCTCTCCTCTTTCTCCCCTGCTCCTTTCTTCCGTACGTGAAACTGAAGAGGCGGCTAGGGCAGCTGGGGATGGACTCGGAAAGGGCCACCCTCTAGAAAAGAGAGAAGAAAGGAAAATAAACAGGCCAGGACTCTGGTCACCCACAAGGAATAGGAGTCGGGGGTACTGTAGCTAGATTGCTGTAGCCGAATTACTGTACCTTTGTTTTTCAGATTTTGCGACTTAAGCAACTCTGTCATCTATATGTTCAAACGTCGCATATGCTTAGCCAAACCTAAAGTATTCGGCGAGCTCTAAGCATTGCTGGTCTCTGTTTGTTCAACCGAGCAATGGTTTAAATTTTTTTGCAACCTCTAAGCCTTCGCTAAATAAATTACATAATTTTTATTAAAAATTGTCAACCTCTAAGCCTGCATTTCCCGGTGTTACAGGAACATTTTACATGGCTGCCGAGACATGAAACATAGAAATATATATTTATGGTTCACGCATTCACGTAAATTTGATTTGCGTGATGGCAAGGCATCCATGCTTTACTTTAAGTAAGTTCTTTATTCATTATTTGTGACAGAAGTGGGTACCCATATAGCTAGTCCATGATGATCTATATCCGGTTATGATAGATTTACTAATGACTGTTGTTTTCAAACACAGTGGCAGTTTTTTCTTTTGCATTGCACTGTTACGTGGCGTCAATATGTGTACAATTCAAGCTTCTTAAGTTCTATCAATCGTATAATCCATATGTAGTGACATTATTAGTCTGAATTCTTGCTTTCAAATCCTCAGCTTATTAATTGCTGCATTTTTTACCCCATCTGGTGGTAATGGGGGGTTCCCACTCAGTGGTGATGATGTTTCTACAGTATTGCCATCTTTTATGTTGAAGCTCCAATGCTTATTGTAGATTTTATTCAACACTATTCTTTTGTAATTTATTTAAAATTGGATTTTATGCCTTGCTCTCTTAATTATTACTACAGAGGCACAGACTTTGGGCTCTCTAGATGTTGAATTCTTCTATCAAAGAATTATGGGTGCATCATTATTTTTTATAAACTTAGAGTGTTTACAATTATACTATAAATGCAGATGCAGATATCCTATAATGCTTTAGTCAAAATTTATAAATTGATCTAAAGTAACAAGTTACATACATGATTTATTGTCATCATGAAATTAATTGTTAGTTCAACTAGTTACATTCTTTTTCATAAACTTCTCAGTTCTGGTAAACATAGATAAAAAATCATAATAACGAGAAAGCACGACAGCTCTATCCTTAGATATGGAAGGTCACATCAATACATCATGTAGGACGGCCATCAGTTTTCCACTATCATAACAGGACCATATAGAGCACAATTATTAACATATAACAGTAATTCTGATCATTGTTTATTCTTTGTAATAAAGTAAAATTGTCTAGATTTCATGCATTTTGGTTTCACTTCTTTCTTGCAAGGAGCTGTTGACGGAATTCCCCAAGAGCCCATATAGGGTACAATTTGCGGTAGTTCCCGTAATTGAAGTATAAGGAACTATTGAAGCACCCAACATGTTCCTGCAATCAACATTCGGTCATGCATTAGTAACTAAGGACAAATTTAGCATAGCGCTAGGTCCATGTTTATCTATAGTCTGCATACTAAATTTAATGTGGCTTAAATATTTATATTTAGTTTACATGATAAACAGAATATTTTTTTCTAAACATTCTCAAGTTATCTCTACTTCTAGATCTAAGTTTTCTTGGAGTTGGAGCTAATAAGTGAAACATGACCTTAAGTGGGATCGAACTATCAGTTTAACTAATGTATATTGCGCTGTTGAGGTTTGCCAGCACCACATATTCAATTTAAGTAGACTGCTGCAAGACTCAATTTATTTCAGGACGGAAAAACTATCTAGCCCCAATGCAATAAGGCATATGGTGTGCGGCCGATCTTACAGGAAAACGCCTCTTTGCCGACTGCTTGCCCCGGTCGGCAAAGGCATAAACCCAATCGGCAAAGGCTTTGCCGACCGCAAAGCTCACGTGGCGATCGGCAAAAGAGCAATCGGCAAAGCCTGGGTCGGCAAAGGCGGATTTGCCGGCGCCACGTGGCACACAATCGGCAAATCCTTTGCCAAGCGCCCACGCCAGCCGATCGGCATAGCCATCGCGTGGCACCGTCGTACCACGACGGCGGGCTTTTGCCGATCGCTGCCGGTTCCTCGGCGATCGGCAAAGAATTATTTTTTCAAAAATTGTTTGCCGATCGGCCGCCATTTCGGCGATCGGCAAAGAAAGATTTTTTTTTTGAAATGTTCTTTTGCCGATCGCTTTGAGTTGCGATCGGCAAAGATTCTTCTGAGTTTTTTGCCCGACTTTTATAAGCGATCGAACAAAGGGAATTTTTTTTTTTGCCGATCGCCGGAGTTGCGATCGGCAAAGATTCTTCTGAGTTTTTGCCCGGCTTTTTGCGATTATAAGCGAAATCGGCAAAGCTGAATTTTTTTTTTCTTTTGTTTTCTATTTTCTCGCATCTCAAAACCCCGCAAAATCACAAATTATAATC